TGGCGACGATGCTTCCTTGCTTCACGTCACCAGACAGGAGGGCCTCCTTGCTTCCAGGCCTTCACGTAACAACTCCGTGTTGTAAGGTTTGTACCCCTTTGACAATGATGCTTTCACGTCTTCGTGAATCCATGCGTCATAGGGCGTCTTCGTATTATCCGGGGAATGTCTCCATGTCCACAAGAATAACGTGACTTCAACGCTTATGTACCTGTTCCTGTGGCGTTAACCTCTAGAATCCTTGAGCCAAAGCTTCTAGAATGCGGTGGCTTCCCGGAACGCTTGCATCCCAGTATGAAGCTGTATCGGCTACATGCGCGGAGCACGATAGGGCTCACCTCTAAGGCGATCACGGGCAGATTGGTTGTTATGACCGTGACCCAATTGTACCCCTAGAGTCTCCAGGATTCGACACTTGATTCCAGAGATCTTCTGTCAACATCATCACCTGATTCCTCGCGTGCCCGATCGTGCAGTCATGATGACCTTCCCGGACATGAATACGACGGTCGCCATCCCGGAAGGGAACGGGGGGCCCGATCGTGCAGTCACGATGTCGGCGCTGAGGAGCCGGCCTGGAACATGATCACGACGATCGTCGTCCCTGAGGTAACAACGTCAACGCCAGGAATCGGTCTTGAGAAAGATAATCAAGCAACGGCGACACAAGGTGGCAGCACACTGCGGCGGCGGCACAGAGTGGCAGCGCCGCGCGGCGGCGCCGGCACGTGATGGCGCTGGCACATGATGGCGCCGCACGTCAACAGACGAAAACTTTGACAGTTCAGCCCATTGGTCGAGGTTCCTTGTTTCCCTCCTATGCCTGGGGTTTGAATCCCAACCCAAACTCTTCACTTTCTTCCTTTGCTTGGCGTCTTCTGCCCCAGCCTGGCGGTCTGCACGCCCTTGTGGAATGGCTTCACGTTGCGAGGTCTGTACCCCTTTATCAACGATTCTTCCAAGACTTTGAGCAATAGCTGACCGTTGCAAGGTCTGTACCCCTTGGCAACGGTGCTTCCTTCCTTCCCAAGACGAGTGTTGCCGGGAAGGCCTCCTTTTTGGCTGCCACTGCGTTGCAAGGTTTGTAACTCCTTAGCAACAGTATTCCTGGACCTTCACGAACAGCTCCGCGTTTCAAGGTTTGTACCCCTTTAGCAACGATACTTCCAGGATTTTGGGTAACAGCACGCGTTGCAAGGTTTGTTCCGCCTTAGCAACAGTGCTTCCTTCCTTCCCAGGACGAGTGTTGCCGGGAAGGCCTCCTTCCTGGTTGCCGCCGCGTTGCAAGGTTTGTAACCCCTTAGAAACGGTACTCATGGACCTTTACGAACAGCTCCCGCGTTGCAAAGTTTGTACCCCTTTAGCAACGATACTTCCAGGACTTCGAGCAACAGCTCTACGTTGCAAAGTCAATGCCCCTTGGACAGCAGTGCTTCATCATTGTGCCAGTGGATGGTTCCGGGACGTGGAGGTCGGACACGTATGGCTCTCCCTCGACGACCCTTCTCCTCAACTCGTGTAACCTTAGCCTCAGATGTTCCACCGCATCAGGGGCCGGTTCTGCTCGATCGTGTCTAGCGCGGAGCTGAACTTGCGCAGAAGACTCTGCAACCCTCTTCTGTGCATGAGGTCGAGATTTAGCATGGCGTCCATCCGGGAAGGTTGTCCGCCTGCCCGGTCAATGGGAGTGATATGACGAGTCGTCCTTCCTGGCTACCATGGCTACCCAACTTGGCGGGATACATACTCCATTCGAGATCTGTCTGTGCTAGAACATCTTTGCTGGTACGCCTCTCGGGGAGTCAGCCGTCTACCCGGTCGACGGGAGTGATGAGACAAATCGTTCCCTCCTTCCCGAAACAAGCGTTACCGGGAGGGCCTCCTTGTTGGTTGCTCAACTTGCCGGGACACGTACTCCCTTCGGGGTCCATCATGCTCTAAGCGTACGAGCGTGGTGTATGGGCACCAAGCATACATGCGTCGGGGTGATAGCTCCAAAGGTGCACGACCTCGCGATGGTGTTACACGACCTGTCAGCGCTAGTGACTCACCTGCAAATTCAGAAAATTTAAACATTTTTTTTATTTGTGATATATCACGGTTGATGATTGTCCTTCATTGAGCGGGTCATCCTCATTCGTCTTGCTTCATCGGAGAGAGAGGAAGGGTCCAAATGTGGTCTGCCAGCTCACCGTTGAGTTCAGTGAAATTTTGACTAAGGTGTAAATCAAGGCTGGTTGGAGAAAGAGGAGTCCAGACTCCCGTAGGCCGTCATCCCCTCTAACCAGCCCTGTTGCTTTCCGGGTTTACAGGCTGGGAAGAGAGGACTGTGACTCAAATCCTTAGCTACAGGTCAGAGGTCTACAGGTGTCTCAGCCGTCCGCGTCCAAGCCTCGCTGGCCGTTGCTCTGCCGGAGAACGCTCGGGTTGTGCATCTCTCACCCTCCAGGAAGTGCGGGACTGCTGTGAAACAAAGCGCAAGGAAGTCACTGCAAAAGAACCTCGATCGGGACGGGCGTGGGCTCTCCGGCCATGGCACCGCCTCGCCGCTTCACAAGGGACAAGATTCTTTGTCGCCGCCTCTGGACTCTGGAGCCCTGGGTATCTGTTCTGGGATCGAAAACACCAGACCTGAACCCTTACGGAGCTGAGGAGCTCAGTTCGACCTGACCATCTCTTTTAGCTCTTCTCTAGGAATTTCGGATTTGGGTCGTCAGCCGGATGCGTTATGACAGAGATGGAGAAACGAACGACGATTGGCAAGTGGTGAAGCGAGCGGTAACCGGCGTCGGCAGTGCTACAACCTTCGACTGTAGAGGAAGAGAAGCGAGCAACAACCGACGACGGGCTTTGCTCCAAGCGGTGCCCTGAGAAATGAGATGTGAATGGAGGTTCTGTGACGGATCAAAGGTTCTGGGTGAGCCCTGGTCCTTGCAACTCCACCGGCCTTCGTGAACGGAGTGAAGAATTGAAACACTTGTTGTAGCTTAATCGTCAATTTCCAGATATGAAATTGTAGGAGTTTTATTTTTTTTCCTTTTTTTCCTGGTTTTTTTGAACTGATTTTGCTGAATTTCTCTCCAAAGTTCCTACCAGAAAATGAGAGATGGCTCTCAATGAAAGCACCAATGTTGGTAGAAAATAACCCGGGTAGAGAAACTAGCAGCATTTCAGTATAGTCCAATAGCGTAGAGAATACATGGAGGGTTGATGGCCTATTTATAGGCATCCATCATAAGTCCAAAGTCTAATCTACGTGGGCTTGGCCCAAATTAATAATACATCTCCAAGCTAATGGGCGAACCGGTCCGATAAATAAGTAATGAGCAAGGGGTGACTCCCGCTCGTGAGACTGCGTCCTGGGCCTAAGCCTGGGGATAACGGGCCGATGGCACTGGGCCTGGCCCATTATCCCATCACGTATGTAAAGTTATTTTCTCTATTTATTATTCTAAAATATCAAAACTACGATGTATTGGCTTTTAAAAAAAATCCTAAACCACAGTCCGCATATCAGTGACAATTAATTTTGACCAATGATATTTTTTAATAAGAGATTATTTTGAATATGAAAAATATGTCAAAATGTTCTTTATTCAAAACATTTTCATAAAAATATAATATTTATAAATTAAATACGAATATAATGATTAAAGTCATTGTCCAAAATCTGCTATTATTGACTAAAAAAATAATATGGCTAATGTAATATTGATTAGCGTTATATTAATTAGAGTTATATTAGAGTAGGGACCCCGTGACATTATTTTTCTGGGTCCGTCATTACCTGTTAGTATGTTCTATGACTTCTATAGTCCATTCCTTTTCTCGTGTGTTTTCCATTTTCATTTTCATCTTCTGCAATAATTTGTTTTAGAAGTAATCAGTCAAAGTAAACTTAATTACCTATTCCGTCTTTTGATTATCCATATTAGTTATAACTCAAGTTTTCATATCCGACTTTCTTATTGTTCCCGCATTGACTTGGATCAGAGTTTAAGAAAGTGGGAATAAAGTGAAAATGTATGGTTGTGGTTGAGTAAGAAAAAGGTAAATGAATGGTAGGCACAAAAAACTTTCCAAAAGGTTTGTTTGGAATTAGTTCAAAAAAGATATACTTAATAAATTAGAATATGCTTTTAAAACAAATGTTATAAGCGATTAAATAAGTGATTTTCCCTTACTAAAACTAAACAACAAAACCATCTTATCTCATGCACGTCACGGGTAAAGATACTAGTTTATTTCATTTCAGAACATCTGAAACCAGCCAAACAGGTTTTGGATGTTCTGAAATGGAATAAATATGGATTTAATATGGCAGGAGTACGTCGCCAAACCGTTTGGCGACTAAGTCGCCATCCAGTTGGGCGACTTGTAAGTCGCCAAATGGTTTGGCGACTTATCTTGACCAGGGTTAAGTCCAGCAGTATATCCGTAAATACTTTTAACCCAACCCTATTTTCGTAAGTATTTAATTAATTAGCATTAATACAGAAAAAAACTCCGATTCTGTCCTGACCTGTATATTGCTGCAATGTACACTCACTCAATTCAGTCGTGATTTTTATTTTGCTCTAAATTGTCCTCTTATTAAGAAGGGTATGTTTGCTTGGTCATGATAAAATTGTCCAAAGCACATGGTTCAGGAACCAATTCAGTGTTACTTCCTCCGTCAGCTAAATAAACTTCTCTCTTTCCCTCTATGAATGTCCCTACATAAAGTCCACTTTTTACTAAGAGTTTAGCTAGTCAGTGCGCGTTGTATCTCCCGCACAGCTTGAGGGGGAGTAATAGTTTATATTAATTAGGAATAATTATGTATTTTGGAAATATACCTGCCAGGGCTCCTATCCTATTGGAGTACGGCTTTCCCATAATTCTCACACCCTATACTGTGTAAACAATAGTTTTAGTAGTATATGCGGTAATGTTTTTTATTTATTACTCCGTATTATCATTACGTTGTTTATTTATGCTACATTAATTGTTGTTCACAGGTTGATAAATGGAATGAACAAAGGGAGAGTGGAACATTCCCTGGACCTCTTTAATTCAATGTGAATATTTTTTTAGGTCATCTTTCTTTAACTGAATTTGGCCTTTTTGCATCCTTTCCAAAAGTGAAATGGATTAATAAGCATTTCTGGGTCTGCCCTCTACGGAACCTTCTTATGAAACAGTGGTTTGTCACTTGTGAAAAGTTTTCTTAAGCACTATGAATATCTGTATAAAACATTATATGTTCTTGTTTACCTTTTGCTTGCAATGCTCTGACACATTGGCAGCTAACTAGCTTCAACAAGCATCGTTGTGGCTGTTTACCTTGGCTTTCAATTTGTTCACATTTAAAAGAGATTAGATTTTAGTCTTGACTAATGCATTACATATATAATATACTGACTAGTTTTCTGTACGCGCGATGCGCGTATGAGATGATGCCCAACTTAAAAATTGTGTTAATTTTTACCTACCAGTATGTGATTTTAGCATTTGCTGTGTGCTACGCAGTATATTCTTGTGAGGTACATGTCGATAATTTTTCATAAGATTTATATCCGCAAAAGATCAAACAGTTGAAAGCAGATAATCAATATTTAAAAAGAAAGGGTTGTATGCTTCCATGGGCAGTAATTGTAGTGTACGCTGAAAGGGTGTTGGGCAAAAAAATAAGTGGGATTAGTGTGGCCGTGTGGGTCTCTTCACTCAAATACTCAGTACTCATGTCAATATGCTAACACCACCAATACTCAGGTCAAAACAGTTGATACCCCATACAAAGCCTTGCACAACAACCCGGTGTTCATAGATTGCTAACAACTGTATGGAATGCAAAAAAGGTAAACGGGGTGTGATTAATAAGTCACATATGCTAGCAGCAAAGCAGCCACACACACTATCAAATGTTTTCATAATAACCATAAATACTTTAAAACATGATAATTGGAACACAAAAAACACTAAGGAGGTGTTTACTTCACTGCTAAAGTCACAGTTAGGTTAGTAAGACATGTGAAGTAAACACGCATACTGCTTAAAAAGCCGCTTACTAACCGAAAGAGGTGCTTAAAGTGCTGCTTATTAAGCATACCACCCCCCATGTATTAATTAAGCGGCACTTTAAGCTTTTTCAGTTTCCCGAATTTACCCCTTGCCCTTAACCTATTGTTATCCCTGCCCCACCTCGACCCCAACCCCATCTACCCCGACCCCACCCTACCCTTACCCCACCTACCCTGACCCCACCCTACCTCGACCCACCCTACCCTTACCCCACCTACCCTACCCTACCCCATCCCGACCCCACCCTACCTACCCCACCCCTACCCTACCTAACCGACCCCCACCCTACCCTTACCCCACCTACCCCGACCCCACCCCACCCCTACCCTTACCCCACCTACCCTACCCCTACCCGACCCCACCTTACCCCTACCCCTACCCTACCCCATCCTACCCCTACCCGACCCCCACCCTACCACTACCCTACCTACCTAATCCCACCCCTACCTTACTTACCCGACCACACACCTACCCTTACCCTACCTACCCCACCCCTTACCCACATACCCGACCCCACCCTACCTATCCGATCCTACCCCTACCCTACCCCCTACCCCACCTCAACCCCCACCCTACCTACCCGAACCCACCCTACCACTACCCTACCTACCCAACCCCACCCCTACCCTACCTACCCGACCCACCCTACCACTACCTGACCTCAATCACCCCACCTACCCCACCCCACCCTATACCCCTTACCCCACTATACCTAGGGTGGTGGGGTCAGGGTGGGGCCGATGTTGTAGAGGCGCTAGGGGCAGGGTAGGTGTGGTGGGGTAGGGGTAGGGGCAGGGTTGGGGTAAGGTAGGGTAAGGTGGGGTCGGGGTGGGGTCGATGTGGTAAGGGCCTATGGGGGTAGGGGCCTATGGTGTCGGGGGTAGGGTTGCGGTAGGGTGGGGACAGGTTAGGGTGGGGTCGGGTAGGTAGGCTGGGGTCAGGTAGGTAGGGTAGGGGTAGGGGGTAGGGGTGGCGGTGGGTGGGTAAGGGGTAAGGTAGGGTGGGTAAGGGGTTAGGGGTATGGGTACACATATTATATTATATACTTGTGTTCATGAATGTTTGTGTGTATATATATATATGTATAGGGTTATTTTGGACATTTTAATGTTAAGCGGTGTTTTAAACCGTTTGAAATAAACACGGTCTTACAACATTGTTTATTTCATGCGCCGCTTATTAACACGGGTTTTAATAAGCACCGTTTAATAACCGGTGAAGTAAACATGTCCTTAATCTTTGTGTCCAAAAGAAACAAGACCATCAAATTTGGACGGAGGGTGTACTCCATAAAAAAGTCAATTAAGTCCTTCTATATGAGACTCTGTCCGGTCGTCGCGATTTGGGGCGGTTCCCGGTGAAATTTTTTGATGAATTTTTTTGAGCATCTTATTCACTAAGTCTAGTTTACTCATACCAAATTTCAGCTAAAATTTAACCGGAAGCGCATTCAAATTAATTCGAGAACTCAAAAATGCGCAGTTATGTTCAAGAATTAATTTGAATGTGTTCTCAATTGAATTTTTAGCTGAAATTTGGTATGAGTAAACTAGACTTGGTGAATAAGATGCTCAAAAAATTTCATCAAAAAAATCCACCGGGAACTGCACCAAATCGCGACGGCCGGGCAGAACCTCCTATAGAAGAACTTAATTGACTTTTTTATGAAAGTTCGAGGACCTATTTGACAGTTTTCCCTAATAAATAAAATATTATCCAAGTACATGTTTATCAAAGTACGCTGGAATTCCTAAACACTACTCGTGATTTTATGAGGAAGCTAATTCACGCTTTCCTATGTCTTAAACACAGTACAATTTTTCTTGACCTTTTTTCAAGAATTGTGTTTTGATTGTTTTTCAAATAGCAATCAAGGATTCAAAGCGAAACTATCAAAAGGTGAATATCGAAATTGAAAAAAAAATGAAACCATTGTTGTAAATTCCTGAGAATGACAAGTTGGGGAAGTGTTGTAAATTCCTGAGAATGACAAGTGTGAATTGTTCATCCTTGTCATCAGAACACTAATCCAATTCAAGTCCTTGTAATAGACAGATGGCTAGGTTTAATTCTACCAGCAAAATATGTAGAACTGTTCTTTGATGATTCATCATCAAGCCCAGCTAGTATAAATAGGGCTTGATCAATCCTTTGTAATTCAATTCAGATACTCAGAAATTTCAGATATAGAGAAGAAGTAATTTAGAGCTTTTTAACACTATATCTATCTCTTAAATCTATATCCTGCATCTTCTTCATTTCACAACACGTTATCAGCACGAATCAGCTCAAAGCTTCAAGAAATCTTCAGCCACCATCATTTCGTGCAGGTATTACCATTAGTATCAATTATCCTCTTTAACCGTTGGCAATCACAATAAACAATTTAGTATTCAAAATTTGAAAGGACGATTGTTTTGATTTCCAAAATGAAATCGTACATATCATAGTTATAAGTACGAATAATAATCTGTATTAGCATCAATATTCGTTGTATTCTTTTAGTATTGAAACATAAAATACATGTTCAGTTTTTGTTTGAAATTAAAGTCATCTACTTCATATAGTAAAAGAAATTAGATCAGACGTACCTTTAAACTATTTCTCTATCCAAATAAACCTTTCATAAAAGCAAGGAAAGGAATGCATGTGCGCCTAGAATGATGAATACTTCTAACTTCTGCACTTGTAACCTTGTAGTAGGTTTGGAGAATTTGGCTGAAATCATGAAACTTAGCTTGGTAGTGTACCAATATTCCGTAATAAGGATTTAAAAGAAAAAGAAAGATGTTAAAAGAACTAAGGCGAGCTGAGACTCGAGAGTATGTAATAGAGAAGAGACATAGAAAGAGCAAGTAGTGTATTCGGACTACGTGTAAATAAATAACACACACTTATCTCTAGTATATTACGGAGTACTACATAAATACGTGTCCCAAGTCAGATAGCATGCATCACGGATGTGCAGTATTTATAAACAAACAAAGAAATAAGGCTGATAGTCTAGTAGTCACGAGAGAATCATAGCAGGCTAGTTGCTAGATAAGGCTAACAGCTATCTGGACAGTTCACGGGTCTTTTATATATACCTGACAAAATTATGAGTTTATTAGCATGCATGCTTTGAATTTAAAAATTATGAAACTGATCGGTATGTTGTCTTTTAATTGTTACCCCCTTAGCACCAAAATCCATTTTCTTAATTAAACTGGTAGTGTTATGAAGTTCATACGCGTTTTAAGCTAACTAGGTCATGAACTATGCGTAGGTTGGTATATACTCCGTATATTAATGACTTAATAATTAAAAACAATCAAAGATGTATAGATCAGATTTATGAGAGAACAATTTCTACTCCTCCAAAGTTCACTCCTTTTTAATACTTACGGAGTACCTAGTAATAAAGAAAAGGCATTGGTGCGTAAAGTTGATATAGATCAGATATTTTTGACCGAATATATATGAAAATAAAAACAAAGACTTACTTTGATCATAAGAATATATCGAATGACATCTATAATAACTGAATAATCAATATAACAAGAATGAATGGAAATCACCATTTAATACTCCGTATAAGAATCGGAAAATTGGCTATATGTGTAAAAGCGATTAGCATCACACGTTAATTCATCATCCATACATGTCATTTATCTACTTATCCATGTCATATTGTCGTATAAACTGCATACGCATGGATGTGTATATGTCCACATATCACTATGTGTATATTTGCACACATATACACATACATAGATAGATTGCACATTTATAGTGCGCTAGCTAGTTCTATTGAAACTACAATCAGTTATGATATTTACATTTCAAGTTATATTTATTTATATATTGAAGATATGGATTACTCAAGTGATAAAGAGCTATGTCTGATAGACAGTGCCACAACGCACACCATTTTGAGAAATAAAATATATTTTTCTCAAATAACTTTAGTTGAGGCTAAAGTCAATACAATATCAGGTGTTGCGAAGTTCATTGAAGGCTCTGGGAAAGCATATGTGATGCTCCCTAACGGGACAAAAATAATTATAAATGACGCTTTATACTCCAGCAAATCGCGGAGAAATTTATTAAGTTTTAAAGATATGCGTCAAAATGGTTATCACATAGAAACCATGAATGAAAACCAAAAGGAATATCTTTGTCTTACGACAACTAAATCTGACACTAAATATATTTGTGAAAAATTGTCAGCATATTCCTCAGGACTATATTTCACTTATATTAGTCCATTTGAAATAAATTTGGTTTCTAACACAAAGTTAGATGATCAGAAAACATTCATGTTGTGGCATGACCGTTTAGGTCACCTAGGCCAAGTAATGATGCATAAAATCATTAAGACTTCACTTGGACACCCATTAAAGAATATCAGGGTTCCATTATCAAGTGATTTTCCTTGTAAGGCCTGTTCTCTTGGCAAAATGATCATC